TATATATATATTATGATGCACCCTACCCTAGCACCCCACCCCCTAGTATTAGCAAGTGTATTTTTCATGCATGTAGTTGGCAAGGTTTCTTGTTTATTCTATGCCATCGCATGTGTGGGAGTAGCTGCTTTATACAAGGTAATGTATTATTGTTTCATGTCTGTTCTACTGCGTAATTCAAGTCAATTACTAACTTTAGATATAGTTACCAATCGTCTCAACACTGTAACCAGCAAACATAATACCGTCACTCGCTTACCTCACATTAAATAAAAACATTTAGCTTAAATACTAAAACATATTAAATTACATATTTAAAAAATATGCATATATGCATTTACACATGATTTAATTAAATATATTTAATTAAATCATGTGTACACGCAATTGATATTCAAGTCCACGTTTATACGTTACTAATTAGCACTGCACGTGGCATGCCCTCATCATATTACTCTTGCTCACTTTACAGCTGGTGCAGCGATGGATAGCACGATGCAAAGATCTGGAGATCCCCGTCTCGAACGACCTGAGCCTCATACAGATCCTCGGAGACCCGTTCGTCATCAGACAGTGGAACTCGTTCGGTCTTCCCCGCGACACCGTCTCGACGGAGAACGCCATTCTCGTCACCAGTGGGCGCCGCTGGCCGCTCATGATCGATCCTCAGGAGCAGGTAGGAATCCGTGATGCTGGCGAGATAGGTGGCGATCTCCATTTCCTCCGCTGGCTGGGCGAACAGTGACTTCAACCGCTGGGTGAGGCAGATGGAGGGTATACGATCTCTGTTTGCTCCTGCTAGCTTCCTCCTCCTGTTTTCCCTGCTAGGCGAACCGCTGGGTGAGGCAGATGGAGGCCATCATAACGGCTGCCTAGGTAGATCTCTAGGTTCCTGCGTGAGAATCGTCTGCACATTTTCGCTATTGCTTGCTTCGTCCCTGCTAGGCAAACCGCTGGGTCAGGCAGATGAGGGCAGAGCAAGAACGGGCTGCGTAGGAAGATCTAGGTTTTTATGTGACTTCCTTTTGCTGGTTGCTGTTATGACGTGACGTGACGTTTCCTCCGTCCTCTAGGCGAACCGCTGGGTGAGGCAGATGGAGAGCAAGAACGGGTTGAAGGTGATCAAGCTGACGGACGGCAGCTTCCTTCGCACGCTGGAGAACTGCATCCGCATCGGCATGCCCGTGCTGCTGGAGGAGGTCGGGGAGATGCTGGACCCCGCGCTAGAACCCATCCTGCTCAAGCAGACGTTCATGCAGGGCGGCCGGCTGCTGATACGCCTTGGGGACAGCGACGTCGGTGCGTGCGTGCGTGCGTGGGGGAGGCGTGTGTGCGTGCGTGCGTGGCTGCTTGTGTGCGTATGTGGGTGTGTTGGTGGGAGGGGTGTGTGCGTGCGTGCGTGCGTGCGTGCGTGCGTGCGTGCGTGCCGTGCGTGCGTATGTGGGTGTGTTGTGGGTGGGTGGCGTGTGTGTTGCGTGCGTGCGTGCGTGCGTGCGTGGTGCGTGCGTATGTGGTGGTTGTGGGTGGGCGTGTGTGTGTGTGCGTGCGTGCGTGCGTGTATTCTATCCTATGGTGTCATATGCTTTACTGTTCTGTCGTATCATTGATATATTATGTTTTAATTGCTATCTAACGTCGTGCATTGCAGATTATGATAAGAATTTCCGTTTCTACATGACGACAAAGCTGTCGAACCCGCACTACATGCCAGAGGTCTGCATCAAAGTCACCATCATCAACTTCACCGTCACCGTTGTCTGGCCTAGAAGATCAGCTCCTCAGGTGAGGTCTTATCTATACTCTCTCATATCAATGCTTACAAAAGCATTACGAATAACAATCAACTCGGAGCTCGCTATTTTAATACCAACATCTAAAACCATAACTTATATCTAACTGATATTATTTAGATGCAATCTAATACAAACAGTGACTAATCGTGATCCTTGATTCTTACATTACATTGCATCTCGATGTAAACTAGCCCATATTTGTTCGTGCCATCATGTAAAACGTATAATAAATAATTAATATATAAAATACCTAATTAATACCATATATACATACTAATATAATACCATATATACACCTAAATATAATACCATATATATACTTAAAGCCGCACAATGCGCATCCAAACGCTAATTTCTCTTAGTACTAGACTAGCAAATACTTCGTGTCATGCATAATCACACTACCTTATGACAAAATAAACTCTAGTTGCTCCTATTTCACTGCGCGTTTGCTTAAAACCCACAAGAAAGAGGTGAGGAAACTGGCGCAAACGCCGACTGTTTCCAAACAAAATAGATTCGAAGTGGTGACGTGACGTCACATGTTTTTATCTTTGCTGCGCCCGTAGCGCACTGTACCGCCGCACCGCCTGCACGGTTGTAGGGGATTGTTGGAAACTGTCAACAACATCGGAGATTTTCAACAACATTGGAGGTATTTTTCAAAATACCTTTTATAAACAACGCGCAGTGAAATGGGAGGCAACTAGAGTTTATTTTGCCATAAGGTTAGTATGCATTATGCATTACACGAAGTATTTGCTAGTCTAGTACTGGAGAAATTAGCGTTTTGGATGCCGCATTGTGCGGCTTTAATATAATACTTATATACACCTAATATAATACCATATATACACCTAATATAATACCATATATACACCTAATATAATACCATATATTATATACACCTAATATAATACCATATATATATACTTAATATAATATAACATAATATATATCACTATAATATAATATATATTTCTAATATATATAATATAAATAACATAATATACTGACCTGCGCTCGTCGTGCACAGTGATGTCGTCGAGGTTGGAGAGACCAGATCTGGAGGAGGCAGAGGAACGAACTGATTCCGTAGAGAATCAACGAGGATAAGAATCAGCCTGAAGGGAATCGAGGATAAGATTCTGCATCTTGCTCTTCAACTCAAGCGGAAAACATTCTCGACGACGTGGAACTCATCAACACGCTGAACGATTCGAAGGTAGATGTTGGCCGTTGTTCGCTGCGCTCTGCTCGCTGCTTGATCGTTAGGATTCCGGATAGCACGTTAGGATTCAGTAATCATGGCAAGCACTGCTCATAGAGGGCGCTGTTAGTGTAGCTGTATACGATTCCATCTCTGCTGTTAGTTTAGATGGAGATGTTTACTTTAATTAGCTCATCTGACATAGTCAGATGCAGCTTGTTAGAATGGCATGATCGTCCGTGCGTGCGTCCGTCCGTCGGTCGTCCGCTGCGTTCCGTCCGTCCGTCAAACAGTTGGCACAAATCTTAACGCTCGACGTACCGGTCACGGATATTCGGGTCGTTGGGGGGATCATCAAAACGAGTTGGGATGTCGAAGCTGGGGGTCAAAGGTCAAAGGTCAAGAGGTGTAAAAGAAGGGGGAACATTCACTCTTTAACTTAAGTATAGGAGGAAATGCAGAATTGCGCGCACAAATCTAAACGGGCTCGACCTAGGCTCGTGATATCGGTGTATAGCATCATGGTAGGACACAGCCATCACTGTGCAGAATTTGGAGGTCACTAGGTCAAAGGTCAATGCACAGGGCAGATTTTAAGACATTTTCTGATGGACATGGTTGACGGAGGCCGATTGAAAATTTTTTGTTTCAGCGGTGACGCTAGCATTTTTTATGGCTTTATTGAAAGGGACTGTCATGAAATGTCCCCTCTTCTGCTGACATCCGAAGAGTAAGTGTCGGATAACTCTTGACCCTCAAGAGGCGGCGTTAAACATTGGCATTTGTTGATGTTAACTAAAGGACGTGAACTGCTTTTGGCCTATTAAGAGCCCCCTCCCCACCCCGCCTCTTCCCCCTCCCACGCCACCCTCACCCGCCCCTTCCCCCACCCTCCCCCACCCCCATCCCCACGCCTCCCCTACCCTCATTCTGCGATAGTGGGCGTGTCCTAACCATGATTGTTACGCAATCTGCCGTACCCGGGGATCTCTTCCGCCTGATCTGCTGCGCCTAACAAATTGCTACTACGCACAGACTGAAATTTTAGCGTTTTATAATCGTTGAGGCAACAGACTCAGATTGGATCCAGACGCTCTGCGGCTCTTTGTTATTTAATATATTATTATTATTATTATAGTAGTGAGTAGTTAGTAGTCGTAGTAGCAGTAGTAAGCAGCAGCAGCAAGCAGCTTAGCCATGCAAGCAGTAGTATTATCATCAAACCGTGAAAATACAAATTGTTTTGTTTTTATGTCACTGCTTTTATTATAATTATTAAAATTATAATTATTACATTAACTAATTCTCATCGTTTATTAAACGAGGACACATACAAACCATTACATCATCTATCATCAATCATTCATCATCATCATGCAATCATCGTTCTCTCTGCACTGCAGTCACCTCGCGGGTGATAGCTAAGCGGCTGGAGGATAGCCGAGGCGACGGATGGAGATGATCACGGTGGCGTCGCGAGCGATACCGCCACCGTCGCGTGACGCCGCGGCAGCATCCATCATCATCATCTATCATCATCATCATCATCATCATCATCATCGTCTGTTCTTCTCGCACCGGCAGGTCACCTCGGGCGTGATAGCTAACGGCGCTGAGGATAGCACCGAGGCAACGTGAGGAGATGACACGGGCGCGGTCAGCGAGCCGATACCGGCCCGTCGCGACGCGCGGCAGCATCATCATCATCATCATCATCATCGAATCCTCATCATCATCCATCAATCATCCATCATCGTCGTTCTCATCCGCACCGCAGTAACCGTCGGTTGCGTGAATAGCCCTTAAGCGGCTGGAGGAAGCCGAGGCGACGGATGGAGATGATCACGGTGCCAGGGCGCGAGCGGACTACCGGCCACCGTCGCGACGCGCGGCATCGGTCGCTCAATCATCTAAAAGCATCATCATCATCATCGTTCCAGCCACCGGCACGGTCACCTTCGGGCGGATAAGCTAACGGTGGAGGAATCCGAGGCGACGGAGGAGATGATCAACGGTTGGCCGCAGGGGAGCGATACCGGCCCATCGCGACGCGCTCGACATCGTCATCATCATCATCATCATCATCAATATCATCGTTTCTCTCCGCACGCAGGTCACCTCGGCTGATAGCTAAGTGCGTCTGGAGGAAAGCCGAGCGACGGAGGAGATGAACACGGTGGGCTTGCGGCAGCGATAACTCGGCCCGTCGCGACGCGCGGCAGCGAATCATCATCATCATCATCATCTATCATCATCATCGCGTCTCTACCTCCGCACGCAGGTCACCTCGTGGCGTTGAATAGCTAAGCGGCTTGGAGGAAAGCCGATTGGCGACGGAGGCATGTATGATCACCGTGGCGGCGAGCGATTACCGGTGCCCGTCGCACGACGCGCCAGCTCGTCATCGTACATCATCATCATCATCATCATCATCGTTCACTCGCACCGCACGTGTCCAACCTCGGGCGCGTATAGCTCAAGCGGCCTGGAGGATAAAGCCGAGGCGGGACGAGGAGATGATCACGTGTGCGCATTGCGGGAGCGATACCGGCCCGTCGCGACGCGCGCAGCATCATCATCATCATCATCATCATCATCATCATCATCATCATCATCGTTCTCTCCGCACCGCAGGTCACCTCGGGCGTGATAGCTAAGCGGCTGGAGGAAGCCGAGGCGACGGAGGAGATGATCACGGTGGCGCGCGAGCGATACCGGCCCGTCGCGACGCGCCGGCTAGGCATCATCATACATCACATCGATCATATCATCAATCGTTCTTCTGCCACTGCAGGTCACCTCCGGGCGTGATAGAGCTAAGCGGGCGAGGAAGCCGAGGCGACGAGGGATGATCACGGTCCGCGCGCGCAGCGATGATACCTGCCCGTCCGACGCGCTCGCAGCATCATCATCATCCTCATATCATCATGCATCATCATCATGCATCATCATCGTTCTTCTCGTCCGCACGCAGTACTCGGGCCGTGATAAGCTAAGCGCTGAGGAAGCCGAAGCGACGGAGGAATGATCAGGTGAGCGCTGCGAGCGATACCAGCCGTCCACGGCCGGCCAGCATCATGTACTTTGTCGTCGTCGACCTCGCGGAGATCGAGCCGATGTACCAGTACTCGCTGAAGTACTTCGCGCAGGCTGTTCAACGCGTGCATCGAGGCGAGCGAGCGCAGCAGCGACCTGGACGCGCGACTACGCATCCTGCTGCGGCAGACGACGATCAGCGTCTACACGAACGTCGCCAGGTACGCGGGGTCAGGGGTCAGGGCGTCAGGGGTCGCGCAGGGGGTCGGGCGAGCGAGCGCAGCAGCCGACTCCTGGACGCGCGACTACGCATCTCTCGCTGCGGCAGACAGTACGATCAAGCGTCTACACAGGTCCGGCACTGATACTGTCGGCCAGGCTACGCCGGGGTTCACTGGTCCAGGGGGTCAAAAAAGGTTTCCGCTTGCTGGTTGGGTCGGGCTATTGCGAACGCGCAGCAGCGACGCTGGACGCAGCGATCTACGCATCCCTGTCTGCGGCAGACATATGATTCAGCGTCCTAATGTACACGATACGTGCCATGTACGCCTGCGCGGGTCAGGGGTCAGGGGTCGGCGCAGGGTCAGGGGGTCGGTAGCTGATTGCGATGCGCAGCAGCGACTGGACTGCGCGCTACCATTCCTTTGCTGCGGCAATGAACGACGTATCAGTCGTCTACTATCGAACTGTTGCCCAGGTATCGCTGGGTCAGTGGTCAGCGGGTCATGGGTCCGCTTCATAAGGACTGGGCGTAGCTGAGCGCAGCAGCGTCTTTTTAAGACGTTGTTTGAGTAAGTTTTCATTTCAGTCATATTCTTGTCTTTCTTTCAGTACGGTTCTATGAGCATGTCGTCAGTCGATCCTTGTCTTCGTTTCAGAAATGGTTGTTTGAGCAGTTCATCAGTCTATCTTGGGCTTCTTTCTGAGCGCTGTTCTGAGAAGGACAGCCAGAGATTTAGTCATCCAAGTCTATCTGTCTTCTTTCCAGAGGTTCTAGAGGCAGTCATCATTCGATCTTGTTTTTCTTAGAGGTTTTCATTAAGCAGTCCTCAGTCTAATATCTGTGTCCTTTATTTAGAGGGTTCTTTAGACAGTCTCTTCAGTCTTATATTCTTTGTCTTTTCTGCAGACGTTCTTAGAAGCAGTCATCAGTTCTATTCTGTCGCTTCTTATAGAGGGTTCGTTTTCGAGCAAGGACATAGCTCGTTCTTTTCCTCATTGTCTGTGTGCTGCACTAATCATTGCAGCCCTGCTAGGTGATCATCACGGCGACGCTCTTGAGTGGAACTTCTTTCTCTTGCGCGATGTCGGCGCCTGCTGGACAAGCAGCGGGAATGTAGAAGAGCAGACGTACCTATGGCTACCCATGGCGTTGTCAGTTCAGTACGTCGTAATTAAACTCTATGATTGTTTAATATAGTATCCGCAGTAGTGATACCCAGGTGGGCAGTCAGTACTCGTAATTAGTACTTCGTAATGATCGAATGTAGTACTTGCGCAGCACACTTATATACCAGGCGTGCAGTAAGTTACTCCGTAATTTTAGTACCTCTTAATGATTAGTATTTAGTAGCTGCGCTAGTTAAGCGCTAATAGGGTTATACTGTCCTCTCAGGGGTAGCTGCTGAAACGTATCCCTGTGATACCTGTCTGGTATTATACCGAACGTACTCCTGGTAAACTATCTGATATGGTTATTGGGTTTCGGTCTTTAGGGTTAGGGAGTAGGCGTAGGACGGATTCCCATAGACTCGTTCTTAGTCGAGTAAGCGTAGTACTGTCCGGGCATAATTTAGATATGTTATTCTTGGTTATTTACGTTCTGGTATACAGCCAATCGTACCAGGGTACGTTCGGCAGTAACCCTGGGGACATAGACCCTCTCAAGGCCGCAGTTGAGTTGTTGTCAAGCTCAGTGGAGTGAATACAAGCAGCGGAAGGTTAGAAAATCGTTCAAAACAGGCCCGTTGTCAAAAACAAAATTAGTCTCTTAATATAGTCTTAACATTAAACTTTTTCTCTATTAGACCGCGTTGACCTAGCGAACGCTGCCGAATTTACCTCAAAGGAATTAATTCGTTAGTCATGATTTCCTCATAACAAATATCAAATACGAAGTGCTGTCGACTGGTCTATTAACGATAAAATGTTAGTGTTAAGTACTAAATTTTTGTTTCTTACAATGGCCGGGCTTCATGAATGTTCCAGCTGGGTGACCTCAGATCAGTGCTGATGCTTTCACATTCAAACGCACATTCGTACACTGATGAAAAATATACATCTAGCGCGAATATTCTTGGCCATTTCTCACTCTACAATTTCATTAATCCTTATATGCTGCTATATAAGTAGCTGAGAGATGTGTCTATTATGTGTCCCCTCAATGGTTACATGCCGGAACGTTACCCTCTGGTACGGCTCCGGTTATAACCGGAACGTACTCTGGTACTAATTTAATATGTCCCGAACCGTAAATACCTCCGCCTACTCTCACTAAACGATCTATGGATGTCCGTGCCTTACGCCTACTCCCTAACCCTAAACCCAACCATTATAGGATAGGTAACTCAGGTGTGCGCGTATATCTGAATGCCCGCAATAGTGTCTTACCGTCTACGCAACTACACAATATTATAACAAATTAATATTATATATATAACACTTTATATTATTATACTTATAAAACACTTTCATTATTTTAGTAAATTTCATCAGTTATTTTATTATAAAGTAAAATTTCGTTGCTTAAATGCAATATCGTGGCCTTTCTCGTCTACGATTTTCATGGCCTCATATTGTGTATAGTTGTGACAGTTACTTATCATGGTTATCGTGGATTGTAAGTGTCAGGTAGGTTACCTAACTACCTATTATCTGTAGGCGACGTGGAACATGTGCTGTGACTTGGAAGACGACCTGCCTGAATTCTTGGGGCTCACTAATGACATAGTCAGGTGTCAGTGCTTCGTCACTTCGGGGGAGATACAGGTGATTGAGTTTGTCACGGTTGCACGATTTTAAAAATTTATCTTTTTATTATTATTGTACAGTTAAAAAAAATTATAATCTTAAACTAAAAATATTTTTCTTGTTAAAACTTAATCCACGATGTAGGTTAAACATACCATATGCTTATACACTAGTAATAGGCAGTATTTCTTTTGTTATTGTTCCTGTATGTCCTACTTTTCTATCCTCTAGGTGTCAATAAATCCTAACAGTTGGGATGGATACGAGCAGATTCCAGACACGTTGGATCCGGCAAATCCTGTAGGGCATTGGCAGGATAGGCTTACCGACTTCCAGCGATTAATCTTCATTCGAGCATTTAGAGAGGAAAAAGTAAATGAATATTTATTTCCGTGAATCTGTGATTGGTTCCTATAGTATCTCTAGAACATCAGCAGTTTATCGTGATATAGAATGGTAATCCCTCTGCTTTGCAAGTAAATTCAGGAAGCAAGCAGCAAGATTAATCATAAACAGTACTAGACGTCGTAGAAACCCTTTCAAATGGAAAGGACACCGAATATCACCAAAGATTTTGGTGATAGTTTAAATTTTCTATTCTGCCTTACTGTGAAAATTTTTTACTCTGCTTTAATTTTGACTTGACATGTTGAATTTTGTACTCTGCTTCACTTTGACTTTACTTGCTGAAATTTGTACTCTGCTTTACCTTGAGTTGCAGCAGCACTGAGATATGTTGAGTGTATATTCACGTGTTATCGCGTTCACAGGTCATGCTGGCTGTCACGAACTTCGTGCGGAACAACCTCGGCCAGCCGTTCGTAGAATCCCCGCCCGTCGACCTGAACATACTCTACGAGGACATAGCGCCAAGCATCCCTCTGGTGTTCGTCCTCAGCACGGGTTCCGACCCCATGGGTGCCTTCCTGCGGTTCGCGAAGGAGAAGGGCTGCACGGAGAAGGTGCTCGCGATCTCGCTCGGACAGGGTCAGGGCCCCGTCGCAGAGAAACTCATCGAGAGAGCAGTGAAGTCGGGCGAGTGGGTGTTCCTGCAGGTACGACTACGCGATACGTTTGTGGCGAGGCGTCCACCGCGAGACATGTGATGAGACATATGTGTTTATACATCTTTGCGTTCGGCGTAATTATGGATAGGTGTCTTCGTTGCTTTACGTCGTCGATTCTGATCTCCCGATTCTGAACTCCGATCTTTCGAGATGCATTCATGGGGTAAGCACGTCGATGTAATCGTCACTCGCACACGTCGCATCGTCACTTTACGACGTGCAATTCTAACTCTGATCTCCCAAGACGTTCTGGGGCTCCGCGCAGGTGCGTGATCGAGACATCTGCTTCGAGACACGAGACATTGAGACATATCTTTGCATTCAGCATAAATACACAGGGTTCGTAGCGGGTCTTCCACAGTCTTATAAGTACTTATTTTGCCAAAAATAAAATAAGGGCCCTTATTAGTACTTATTTTTGGTGAAATCTTAGAAAAGTACTTAATAGTCCTTATTTTTCGACTTACTGTTCTCGACTTAGAGTAAGAATTGTTGTATATATAATACGGAATAATTAAATCTGCTGTGCAATTGTGTATATAAATATTATTATTGTACTTTAATAGTCGGTGATCTATCAGAAATTGCGTAAAAAGTCTTATTTTGGCCTCCAGAAAGGGTCTTATAAGTCCTTATTTCAACATGTGTCTTACTACTATGAACCCTGATACAGATAGATATCTCGTCACTTCACGTCATCACTTCTTATTCGAACTCTGATCTCGCGATACATGCTATAATGGGGGGGGGGTGCAAACGTCAGTGTAATCGCACGGGGACGTTACAACGCTTGCTCGGTTCTTCCCTCGCAGATCTGCCACCTCCCCGCGTCGTGGATGCGAGACACTTGCCGCGAGACGTCTGCATCTACGCATTCAATGTATACAATACATATATAATATGTATACAATGTATACAATGTATACAATGTATACAATACAATTCAATGTATATAATATATATACAATGAATACAGAATACATACGTCCCTTCGCTCACAAGTGTTTTTGCGTCGCAGAACTGCCACCTCGCCGCCTCGTGGATGCTCGCGATGGAAACCATCGTGAAGCGGTTCTCGGAATCCGGCGCCGCCGCCGCCGCCGCCGCGCCGCACGAAGACTTCCGGCTCTTCCTCAGCTCGATGCCGTCGCGCGCCTTCCCCGTCAGCGTACTGCAGAACAGCGTCAAGGTGACGAACGAACCGCCGAAGGGCCTGCGAGCGAACATCCGCCGCGCGTTCGCCGACCTTGACCAGCGAGTGTTCGAGGGACACGGTGAGAGGTTCCGCAGCAGAGTATATACTCT